GAAGCGTCAGCCATTTCTGGCCGGCCACTTTCCCTTCTAAAAATGGCTGTAATATGTTTATTATGGCCCAAATATCTGAGCAACAAAGTTCTGATACAAACAAATGGTTTACTGTAACATGAACAGTTTGATAAATACAGTCAGATTGTCCATGACACCATGGGCCTTTTGCAAGCTCCTGAAGATGTGGTTGTGTTCCCATGCACAGGGTTCACACTGTCTGTTGAAGCCGGTAAGACGTTGACCTCAATTGTTGCCTTGATGTGTTTTGATTTTGTCTGCCATTTCTGTACTTTAAATGGTGTTGATTATTTTTTAAGTACTCTTATCAACCCAGAGGGCTCATGATGTGATGGGCCACTGTATAACTTGAATAAAATACAATAAAATTGATAGATATTATATAAACCATTTAAAAATGTAAGCTGATTCGTAAATTAGAAAAGACTTTGTTGTGATAGACTAAGCTAAAAATTGTCTGAGTCACTGCAATGAAAAATGTAAAACACTGTGAATAAAATATGAAACTTCATTTGTAATAAATAACCTACCCATTTATAAATTTGAATATAAATCTATAACAATAATTAGAAAAGACCTTATTTTTATACTCTTAGTCAAAATTTGTCTGAGCCACTGTACTGAAATGTGTAAAACCCTCTGAATTTAATACGCACCTCCATAATATATAGTAAATAACCTATGCATTTATGAGTGTAAATATATATAACATTAATGATATCTTCTGTGTATGCTAATAGTTAGAACTTCTTGAGGATAGTAAAGCAAGAGCTGCTTACCTGTTACTGTAGGTCTGATTTTTTGGGAAATCCTAAGGCTTGAGATTTGAGTGGGAAGCTCTAATGGTTTTTTGAAGACAAAGAAAGAGGCAATTTATTTTAAGAGAGGTCCCTTGAAATTCACTTTCCTTTGAAAGACACTTGTGACTATTGATGTGCTTCAGTGATCACTATGGTTTCTGCATGCCAATAAGGAAAAACAAAAAAAAACCTGTGTGGCCTCTGTCTCTGCTCACATGGGTTCCTAATTAAAGTGGGTGTTTTCCTAAAACAGCATCCTGATCCCTTGCAAGGACAAGAGATATGATTATCCCATGCCATAGAACTGCAGTGATACCTGCAGAAGATTTCTTCTTGTCCCCGACATGGGCAGAAAAATATAAATGGAAGGATTCTATTTGCTATTCTGAGAAAACTTTCTATGAATGTTTTCTGGGATTAATGTATTGACTGATGAGGTATCTGAGAAGAAGTGTAATGGAATAAGAAATGCTTGTTTCTTGGCAGGAGAAGTGGTTGGCGTCTCTGTCTTTTTGTAACAGACACTTTCCTTTTGATCTGGCTAGCTCTAGAGGTCCTCTAGCTTCTAGACCTGGTTACCTCTTCCTTGTGAGCTGACCGTAGCACCGATATGGCTTGCTAACACCCACATTTTGGCTGTTTCCCCATGCTGTTGACTTCATCTTGTCCCAGCTCCCCCAGTTGTCCTTTGCTGTGCTGGGGTTAATGTTTTCCCTCTTATTTCAAGACTGTCCAAAGGCAACCTCAAAGAGTGAAAAATCTGTTCTGTTTCAACTTCTTCTACCTTGGAGGAAAATCAGGGAACTTCAGGAGTCAAAGCAATTGAGGCAGGATGTGGATTGGCAATGGGACTGCAAATTCTATGGCAGTTTATTTATTTTATGTTGCAAGAATGGATAGAGAGTATTTTAATTCATCAGTGGCCGACTAGCCCTTAGTGATCATTATTCTCAAGCAGTTTTGTATACTGAAGGGTTTTAAGGATTTTATTCTGTTGGTTAATATCCCTCTCTGTCTGTCTGTCTCTTTCTCTATCTACAGTATCTATCTATCTATCTATCTATCTATCTATCTATCTATCTATCTATCTATCTATCTATCTATCATCTATCCATTCAATCACTGGAAATATGACATGATACAATCTCTCTCTGTAGCTATAGCAGCATCTACTATACAGAGTCACAAACTCATGGTGTCACCCTTGATCCATCATACAGTAAATGAACCAAATAACAGAATGATACAAAGCAAAATCAGGCAAGAAAGTTTTATTTTTTTTGTTATCAGGAAGCAGATGTCAAGAAAATCCTCTCTTGAGGAAGTAGCTAATTTTGGTAGCTGCAGAACTTAAACAGTAACAAATATTGAAACATACAGTATTTCGTTAAGGAACAAAGCCAATAATAAAGCCAAATTTCATCTCTCCCACCTTCTAATGTCCCTCAGCTGATCACAGGTCCAGATCTGCTTCAAGGAGACCTAAATCAGGTTGTTACAAGGACACAGTCTGCACTTTCAGCATTGGGGACTTGATTCCCATGATTCAGCTGTATGTTAACTACATG